CAGACTTAAGACATATTTGAGTTACAATGAACCAAACTTAACAACCATCAGGGAGTGTACCTGGAACACTGCATCTTCCTGGGAGGGGGAGTTAAGGGAAAATGTATGGAGGTGACAGGGAAACAACTACTGAGTTACATGAACACACTCCAAACATTTGATCAGAATAACATGATAGAAGAGATCAGTGGGAAATCACCCAAGGGCCAGAACACTGAATTTAGAACTTGATATCACTGATGTGGAAAAATTTGTAGGTTACAAAGGGGAATTGACAGATTAGGACTTAATGGATTTTGAAGAGGAAACAAATGCTAAAGAAGTAAATAATGAAGAAGGAGGGAAAAAAAACACACCAGACAATGAAAGGATTAACTGGAGTTTTTTCCTGAAGTAAACTGTGGGCTTCAGTTGCTTGAAAACATGTGCTCCAAACACTGAACACTCTGCTAAAGTCAACAGGCAGATTTGGGAAGCAGCAGACATTACTATGAAATATATGAAAAGGGCCATATGGACGACTCTCACTAATTTTCTAACTAGGGACATCATCCTCATTCCCAGGGATAATCCAGATGATCCAGAACCTTCAACAAGTAGTAGTTTTACCACAAGTGACAAAATGCCAACTCTCCCTCATTTTTGGAGCAATTTTTTATGATCTGTGTAGTTTTTATTGTTGTTGCAAGCCTGCTCCTCTGTCGTCAGCACACAGCCCCTCTCCCTCTCTGGGTCTAGAGTCCCCAGCCTCTCCATCTCTCCACATCATCATCTCTGCCTCCATCTCTGGCATTACTGCTTCTCTTGGTAGGGTTCCGCTCTCCACTCTTCTCCCTTGATGGTCCCAGGATCTCTGCTCCTAAACTGAAAAGTTATTCACTCCCCTCCTTTTGCTACAAAATGTCCACCTTTACATTTCCAACCCTCACAGTCAGTCCTATACCAACTAGCCACCATTGTACCACAAGGGACCTATCCCCATCTCCTTTCATCAGTCCCTCCCAGACAGATTGGATACTACTCAGTGAAGATTCTACCTTCCTCTGTGCCCTCTGGATCTAGGCTCCCTCTTGAAAGCTTGTAAGCCAGTCATTTCTTTGTAGCAC